ATAAATTTTTAGACTTTTTTCTTTCTTCTTTTTGAAATTCTATATATGTATATATTATATTGGAAATAACCGTGAATATAAATATATATATTCCAATGATAACACTCCATATGTGGACGATTTGGCGCGCATAGCGCGCCATATACGCTAGTATCTTATATATATTCTAGTATATATCTGATACACTGCACTTCCGGCCGGAATATATGCACACATAATTACTATATATTTCGCACATAAATCACAAATTTCGCGGAAAATATTTATCTATCAAATATTTTCCGCCGAGATATTGTTATCACATTTTTTAGGAATTCTGTGAAATTGAATTCCCTGAGGACAATGTAAATTCTGTTAGAATTCGCGAAAGCTACAGATTCATTAAGGATGTTCCAATCTAAAGCAAAAATTTACGTTTTTTTTTAATTTTTTAGTAAATTACCGATGGGATTGATGTAAAAAACTATAAATACAGTTTTGTGATTGTTTTTCAAAATTTCGAAAAAATGCAGAAAAAATTTTCGCACGACCTTGAGATTTTCATAATGACAAAAAATTAAATAATAACAAAACGCAAAAACGTTATATTTTTTTACGTCAACTCCATATTAAGTTTCCCAAAAAAAAATGGAAAAACATTAATTTTGGCTGCATATGGTTATAGCACATCCTTCACTCTTGCTTTTATGTATCCCTCAATCTCACCTCACACCCAAATTCGGATTTGCAAGATACCGATAATTATCATAAATTTTACCTGCACTCTCTAGCACATGCCCTTTCCGGCCGCAGTATTATTGAACATTAATTGAAGTTTAATGAGGATATATCCCCTTTTCGTGAGAAAATATGAATGTTTAAATAAAATCCCTCGAATAACTCTGATGGAGAACGGTTGATGAAATTTGGAATTGAGATGTTCAGATCACTGTAATACATTTTCTAGCTTATCCCACAAATATCGCACAAGTTCTTGGAACCCGGTGTCTACTGTCTGCCATCAGCCCATCCCCTTCCACTCAGTCTACATCCGATTCTATTCCTACCAACGGTAGATACTCACATGGCCAAGATCAAATTCATTGAATTAATGCACTGTGAAAAAATCATGTTTTACTCGAATTGTCATTTATCTGAGTAAATTACCATAAGAATCGCACCTCCCACAGAACCACTTGCCCATCCCAATTAGATTTTAATTATTAGAATTACAAGACTGATTATTCGGTATTTCTTCTTGAAAGGCAGTGCTCCCCATTTTTTTCTCTAGATCTCACAAATTTCCCTGAGATAATTTCGCTCAATATTAATAATTATTGAAAGTTTGCATTCAAGGTCACGATTAATCTAGTTCATTTGATAATTCATGAAACGATATGACTTGTATAATTTACAATAATAAATTATAATAATTGTAGTAATGTGTAATATATGATCATAATATAATTTAAATTTAAAATACATGAGATTCAAATGTATATTAAATATATAAGCCATTAATGTCTCAATTACGATTTATCAATGGTGCGGGGGGAGGCTCGGAAAATAATGGAGTAAACGTAATTCACGTGAATACATAATTGAGTTTAGCCCCTGAACTTCTGCCTCTCACCGATATCTGAGGAATAATATACCTAATCTGAATCCGTTAGTTGGGATTGGATCTCCTGTCTCCAATCTCTTTTCTACTGAAGTACCCGAAGAATGATTCAGTGTTGATGTATGTGTTATATGGATACTCATGTTCAGTAGTTTATGTAAATTGTTTAGTCTTTATTATGTACACTTGAATTGATGTAAGAGATTTACGGCTTCAAGATAAAATAAAACGTGGAAGACGAGAAATGAAATTGGTAGCCGAGTGCTAAAAAATGATAAATTAATTTAGCTGGTCTGTAAGTTTTTTGGAGATACCTTGAAAACCAAGGGAAATAATGCAATTCTTGTGGGGACCATTTTTGTAGCTGCTCATTAGCTCGACAAAAAAAGTTTTATCAAAAACTTAATTATCTCCGTTATTTTCAGAGATATCTTCGAAAAATTAATCCAACAAAGTTGACTGCTGAAATATTCAGTTATAATGATTGATCTGACAATTGGTTTACCGATAACGAGAGAGACCCACAAAAGTTAAAAAGCAATACTGTAATTATGCAGCGAAAATGAATATAGAAATTGCAAAACAACGGTGAAAGAAATCCCGTAACAGTCAGCAAAATGGTAGAGTAGGATGAGTATATTTTTTTCGAGGCCACTTTTTCGCCGATATCTCGGAATTGAAAGAGCATAGCAGTTTTTTTGTATTGACACTTTTTATAGAAAAATATGAGACCTATAAAAAAGATATCTATGAAAATATCGTTATCTACCTGCAATTCAAAGATATCGACTGAAAACTGGCCACGAAAAAAATATACTCATCCAACTTACCCACTTCGTAACAAAATGAAAAATTATTACATTCGATAAATTACAGAAAATATCAAGTAATTGTAATTGAATATTTCCGTCAGTTTATTGGAAAATTTGAGTGTCGAGGAAGGAGTTGATTGATTGAAATATTGAAGCTTATTCGGTGGAAATAGCGATACCGATCAATTAAAATTCGATGAAACTCACCTGATGACTATTGTCCGCAGCTACATGAAGAACATGAAGAAGCAGCAATGCCGCAATGGCACATCTAATCAACACCATAGCTCTTGTCTCCCGATAACAAGAGAACAGTCTCTACAATTCGCCTCTTAATTACGTGTTCCAAAGACACATCTTGATAATTCACAACACAAGAGGAAACAAAAAGAAAAAAGAAGAAGTCAAAAGGAACTGGAAATAGTCCCTTTCGAGATGAGGAAACACTTTGAATTTGAATTTGAAAGCTGTCAATTGAAATAACTATTGATAGGTATTAGTGGGTATTGGATGTGGATGTAGTCGGTACCGGCGTTTGGTAGCGTCTGAGCGCTGCGGTGATAAAACTTTTTGAAAAGTCTCTTTAGCGCGTCTCCCTCCTCGGCCCGGCTAATTTGTGGGTGTTTCAATATTTTGAATATTTCTCGAATGACCGAAAGTCCGTACTGGGATGTCCTCACCGTCCTACTCTCGCAGGCGGGAGTATAAACTGATGCTTTAGTGAAGCGAGTGAGAACACTAAACTCTTTTTTAACGTGTTCTCCACAGCATGAACAGACGGAGAGTCGATCTCGAGCTGAAACTCTCCGCAGTCGAACGACGGCAACTCCGGTCTCAACCCCCACCATCTCACCAATACGCCACGCTCACTCCAGACGATTGCAACTTAGCAGAATAAAAAAATAAAAACCATTAAAAAACCAATGTTATTTTCTACCAAAATTCAAACTTTTTTCTTTATCCTTAATTCAAAAACTTACCTGACCCTTTGGCACATCGTTTTATTTTGATAAGCTATCATATAATATAATAATATTCTCTTCCAAAGAAATTAAATATCATATACCATATATAATATGTTATATATACTATATATGTGTGGATGAAAAGAATAAATAAATAATAAATGATGTATTGAATATATATTTTATATGTTAGTAAATGATAAGGACATAAAATGCTATGAAAATGTTATTAAGTATATTAAATTTATATATGGTTGATCTTATACTAACGAAAAGAAAGAGGAAAGGGGAGAATACCGATGTAAAACAAAGGAAAACATTTGTAACATCAATGAAATAAACAAATAATAATAATAATATATCTTATATGTATTATGTATCCACTGTATATTATGAATTTAATAAAAATGGAATTTATAAACAATGCGAAATGTTTTCTAAGCCGAAATATGCACTCCTTTTTTTGGATGTATCATTTTATTTTTGAACGTTTTCTTAATTATTTCTCTAAAAATCATTCCATGCTGCTTTATCTTGGGGGGCATGGAGGGGCGTAACGATTTTTTTTCATAATTATTTTTTATAGAAACAGATAAGAACTAGAAGGAAGATATCTCTGCACATATCCGTATTGTCCTTCAGTTTCGAGAAAGTGGTGAGAAACTGGCCTCGAATTTCTACCAGAAATCATTTTATCCTCGCAACAAAAAATATCCATGCGAATATGCGAATGGGATATGTATGGGACATACAACTTTTTTCGAGAGAACAATATCTCATATATATTCAGCATATATCTGATATACTGGGTTTCTGGCCAAAATATATACGCATATTATTCATATATATTTCACAAATCGCAAGGAATAATATTCGGCTATTTAATATATTTAATAATAATAATAATAATATATAATAAAAAATAATATTAAATAATATTTGTGTATTTAATGGTATTTCAATCGTAAATAATGGTGAATAATGGTAATTTAACGGTATATATAGGTCCAGTAATTTCCCTGTTTTTTTGTTTAAAGTTTGATGAATTTTTGAAATTTTTGCAAATGATTGATATTTTGGGAGTCATTAAATAACCGTTGAAATGGGAATTATTTTTAAGAAAACTCAAAAAGTGTGAGTTCTGGATAGAAATGGACAAAATATTCTTGAGGAGTTTTTTGCAAATAATCAAAACTTTATCAAAAATTTAGAAAAATTGACGCACAGCCATGAACATTTATGAGTCATTGAATGATAAAACTCCAAAACGGTGTATTTTTTCACGTCAATCTGAGCCCCAGTTTCTCAAAAATTTGCAAAAAACATAAAAAATCGGCAGTACCTTTTCAAGTAAAACTAGTCACCACAACCATGAAATTATTTTCTTTTAATTTTATTGAATATAAAAAAAATAAAAAATGACAAACGTAGTGTTAAGGATATTGTCCACCCATCTGTGATCAAAATGCACCCTTTTCAATATTTTCGGCAAATTATCGATGGAATGGATGTAAACAATACGTTTTTGCATTTTGTCATTATTTGATAGCTCATGCAGTTTTATAGTTGTCCGATGATTTTCATGCATTTCCCTACGATTTTTTCATTTATTCTTTTTAATTCTTTTTACAAGTTTAGCAAAAACACAGAAAAATATTTGCACCACCTTGAAACTTCGTGAGTCATTAAATAATGTAAAAATGCAAAAATGTTATATTTTTTTATATCAACTCCATCGATAATTTAACAAAAAATTTTCGAACGTGAATTTTCGCTATAGATGGGTGTAGGACGCTCTTAAAGGCAAGGTAGAAATCATCTCTCGAATAGTTAATAGTACTTTAATAAAAGTACTCGCTATTACGATTAAAAATCGATTTTTTGTGAAAATTATTATAGTTTTCTGCAAAATATTGTAATTTGCACTTGAATCATAAATTCACTGGATAAATTATACTATAAATTATTTTACGTCACTCTCTAGACGATTGCAAATTGGCTAACATTTATTGTTCAATTTATCCTAACTCATAAATTCTACAATTTTCATCCTATGCATGCTCATACCTTTGATAATATCATTATTAATATCATAATATTTTTCTACTATTAGTTATACATTCACAATATTTCGGTGAAATTTTTGTTTTCCGTTTAAAAATGTACATGTGATGTATATTTTATATTGTATGTGCATAGGGAGGGGAATAAATGTCAAAACCCGAGAGGATATACATCAGGATCAAATAAATAAATAACTAGATTAATAATTTTAGGATGATAACTTTTTTTAGTAACGAACATTATTAATTAAAGCAAAATTTTATTCAAGGCAGCAAAGGAACGAAATTTTTCTGATGAACAATAGAATTTTCTTGTTCCATTTAAAAACATTTATTCATACCGGCAATAAAAAATATGCTGTTAATAATTATAAATATTGTGCGCCCGACAATTGCTTTTGTTGCATAAGTGAAAAATTAGAATATAGCCACTCAAATTCGACACTTTAGTTTCAATAAATATGAGAAATGTCTAGAATCTTATAAAATATAAAACAATTCATCAATTTCTCTCAAGATTGCTAGTCAAATAAGGCGCATTCCGGATATTTCATATTGACTTGCGAATTGAAACTTATAATTTAACAAGATTCTGTCCTATGGGAAAAATTCTTTATATAGGTCTCTTGATAATAATAAAAAATCGATTGTTCATTAAGAGGAATTAGAATATCATATATATGACAAGACTAGAGAGTTCTCCAAATGGTTTTATAAATATTCAATTTAGCGTAGTCAATATGTGAAATTGAAAAATCGAACATGTGAACACATAAGTGAAATATGGATATTTCACCTCCAAGGGTGGTAATCATCAATAGATAATCTCAGTTTTATTCCTGCTCACCCCCCCAGACATTCTCATCGACTGACATAAATCAACGCCCTTCATATTTGTCTATTTCACCGACTATTTCTCCAACATCCAGGCCAATATTGAAAAATTCAAATTCATTACATGCTAATACTAGCAATTGAACAACTCGAGCCCAAGTTTTCAGTGTAACCAAAATATTTCATCCGAATAGTTTCTCAGAGGTCCAAAATTGGATCAACTGGCTATTTCGCAAAATTGATCAGCGTCAGACTCAATTTACGATGGCATTTACCAGTGCAGCCCTAATTTCACAGAAATTCTTACGTTATTAAAATAAAAATGCCTTTCCTGTCAGTCCAACAAATACTTGACAAATTATTGTTGACCATCCGTAACTTACGCTGGATTACCAAAAATAAATATGCAGTAATTCTGAGCTTTGTGGCCTCCTTTGGACCAGACAAAATCTCAAAATAAATAGACGAATCGTTCAACTCAAATTCACACAAATCGAGACAACTGAAGTGCCAAAATAACTTAATCTTCAATTATTGAGGCATCTAAATTTCGAGACAATGAGTAGATAGGTTTGAGAGTTAAACTAATATAATGTCATCTTACAGACGAGCCTCAATGAAAAAGTGTCAGTGATAATATTTCTGAAGTGAGTAACCCACTGCTGAGAGGCATGTAAATTAAAACAAATCGAGATGAATTGACCAGTCCGTAGTAGTCTGACTCATTCCGTTTATAAAATTATGTCTTTCATCTGGCTTAATCGCAATGCCCCTTTTCCACACCACAATTAAGTCAATGATATACATTTTCAAATTTATAACAACCATTGTACCCAAAAAACAATCATAACATTAAAAAAAATCCAATTAACTCATTTCTTTTCTCACTAAAACTTTATGAGATGCCAACACACTTCTTAATAGCATTTCAAATCATAAAAAACATCAATAAAAATAACTAGAGTGACGCAATGTCTAATTTATCTTCGAGGGTGACATAAGCACAATAATCTGGCTGGCCTAATCAGTAATAAGAAAGCCTATGTTGCATAATTATTCCAATCGTAGTTTGAATAATTTCCTTCCTTTGAAATCGACGATTAGAATTTAAAAATGGAACCTGAATGTCCTTTGATCTTTTTTTCAACTATCTGACTATACAACAGTAATATAAATATCTGTTTAGAATGGATAATATAAACTTTATAGGGAAAAATTATAAATTATACCACCAGGGGATTCAATTCAATTTCATTGCAAGCGATTTAAAAACCATTAATTACTAATCACTTCGATTTTTTATGCCTGTTGGACAGTAGAAATGAAATAGTACCAAAAACAAACTGGTGGCGACATCTTTTCACAATTTCGATTTAACCTTCTCCCAAATTGATATAGACATTTACACTCCATCTCTTTTCTTTTCAGTGACAGAAAAAAGAAAAAACGGAGCCCAGCTAAATTTGTTATCTGAATCTGTTTTCATATTTAGTTGACTCGAATATATTTATAATGCGATATAAGAAAAAAGTCTCACCATTTTGTTAAAGTTCAGTAAGACGACAAATTGTTGAATTGAATAATTTCCATTGCGTTTGACGATTTTATTCGTGAGTTGGACTCGTTGTTGTTGAGGGTAGGAGTGTGTTTTTTTTTTTCAGTCGCCAGTATCTGGATAAATCCCAAGTTCATTTTGAGTTACAAGTTTTCGAATTCTTGGGAATTTTCAGAGTGACGCAATTTTGCAAGTGTTT